AAAAACGGGGATTCATTTAATAGAAAAGAGGTTTTTATTTTGTGTATCATCTATGCTATTATTCCACGAAACGCACATATTTGGCATGAAAAACGAAATAATATTAGATAAATAGCAATGAAAAGAATGAAAACGATATCAAACCAGCAATGCAAATGTTTTATTAAGACATGTACGTTTTTTAAGTAAAAATTATAGATTTTACTATTTTTATACGTATAAACTGTTTAAAATTAGTAAATATAGTCATGAATAGCCTTTAGCAAAGGATTTACGTAGGAATCACATTAAACCTACATTAACAAATACATTTAAGTGTAAAATTTCACGTCTCTATGACATACGATATATTAGTATTAGGTACATTCTCATTTCACTACCAAATCTTAATGGTTATAAAATCTTTTTTTACCCACTACACCTTACCATTTTTCACGTTTCATGCCAAACATACAGGTACTAGATTAAGATCAAATCTTGTATCTGGTAAGGTTTCTTCAAAATAAATTCATTGTTCAGTTTACTAACTTTTTTCAAGAAAAGTTCTCTTTTACTAAATTTTAACGTATCTATAGTAAAAACAATAAATAGTCATTTAAATGATTGAAGAAAACTAAGTTTTTTACTCTAAAATAAACATTATACATATGAAAAATTTTTTAGAATTTCAGAGAAGAAAAGAGTAATTGCAATACATGTATTTTTTTTTTTTATTATCTTAAGTAATTTTTTTAATTTAAAAGGTTTTTGCTGTAAAATAAATATGACGTCTATAAAAAAACTCATTATTGTAAAGAAAAATACACTAATACAGTTAAATAAAACAATGATGTGCAGAGTTCGATATTTCCGGTAGTAAATGTCACACTGAATCCTCCATCTGATGCTTCTTAAATTATTCCGATTTTATTGACTTTTTTTCCTTCAACGCGATTTTCTTTGAGCTTTACTGGCTTAAGTTTTTTTATGCCAAGCCGATCCTTATCCATCTCGATTCTTTCTGGCACTGAAGTCTTCCATTACCTTCTATTCTTTTTACTTTGTCTTTTTCATTCAAATTTTTCCAACACCATCTTTGTGCTGTACGCTGAATTTTTTTTTATACAGCATCAATATTCAAAATATTGAGGTTCTGCGAAGAAAAAAGTAGTGGAAAAATAATACATCTACTTTTCATTGTTCTTCGCAAAATGAAAATTTGTTCGTCCTCCTGCACAATACATTTCTATACACGTGTATAGAAATTTACGCAGGACCATTTGGAATTCTCGAACTTCCGACAAGTCTCATGGAGAGGAGTTGTGGGACGGAAAAATCTTTCATTCTTTTTCATGCCACATCCAATATATCCAACTATTTTTTCATCTCAAACTTGCTTCGGAACAAAGAGAGCCGCGAGTCCAAATCTTTTTTTTTCCGGCTGTTTTCCCGTACGATAGAAAAGATGATCTTTAGTTCTTTGACATTTCTACCTGTGTTTTCAACGGGACATACATAAAATAACGAACGTTCGAAAAAAGGCTAGCTTTGACTGTTACACTGAGGTGCATGTATTGGTTGTTTCGCGAAAAATGGAAAAGTACAATAAATTGATGTGAAAAGTACTATTTCCAACAATTTGGTGTTTTAATTTTTTTTTTTTTTTTTTCTACTTTGGAATATTTTAAGACTGAGTCTAATGACATGCTTAAGAACTCTTAGTTCATTTAAATACTTTTCTTCACAAGCATGGAAACATTATTGTGGTGGACTACTTTATCCTATCAAAATAATTTGAAATTGGCAAATAATTTCCAGATATGACTAAGACGTTGCATACTTACTCAAAAAAATTTATATTTGCTTTTTCAGAGGAAAAAAAAATTAAAACATTCACACCATAAGCTACAACGTAAACATTGTTTATTTGAAAATAGTAACGACTTTGTCATCGGTTATTTTTCAGTTTATATGAAACAGCTTACTACGTCATGGATATAATATATCATGAAATTTCTGTAAAATGACTCATTTTTATCGTTTTTTTGTCGTACCGTCATGCTGTGCCACAGTTTATAAGTATGAAAATTATTTTTTCACATTAATTTTTATTGTAACTTGTATGAACAATATCAAGAAAGATCTGGAGTATCCAAACCTTAACAAAAATTTATTGCTTTTGAAGTAAATATGAGAATATATATACACATTGGTACGTAGGTGGAAACAGACGATGCACCGGATGCATAGCAAGTCAAGCGCGCTTGTGTACGTATCCGAAACTTTCGTGACGTGTAGGACGTACGCGAATTTCTGCAGTGCACGTACGTGTACCTCTGCAGACATATAAACACGGAGTATGCCACAGATTTGACGATCGAGGGAGGTATTGAATCCGTCGTTTGTCTGGGAGGGAGGTTGAGCCAAATGTTCGGCTTTATTTTCTCATATGTATGCAGTGGTTAGTTGGTTCGCTCGTCCGCGAGAGTATGCAAATTTTTGAATTTTTTCTGTCAGTCCCTCGTGGATTCAACAAATTGATCTTTGTTGAATTAAAATTTCTTCTTTTTTTCCCTTCTGATATTTTCTCCCTCCTGCAGGTGCAAAGGTGTTCACTGGTCATGCATTTTTTTTTTTTTTTTCATTCCATGCCTCATTTGCTTCTTTGTAATTTAAAAATATAAATCTCAACTAATTCATTTTGTGAATTAGTATCAATCGCGGATCGGGTAGGTTAACCATTTAAAACATATTATTTGGTTACAAAAACTGCAACTATAATTGTTGAAGTTAAATTTTTTGAGTCAAAGAAAAAATAGAGAGAAAACTTTGATCTTTTAAAAAAAGAAATAATTTCATTGGTTGCGTTAAGAAATGTCTCAAAAAAAAAAATGTTTTTTTGTCAAAATAATTATTTCACTTCATCAAAAAACTGCTATTACTGGAGAATATTTATCATTTGTATGTTTATAGCGTGAGAAAACTTGTTTTCACGGAAGTTGCACGCATAGTACGGTAATCATCGATAAGTATGATATACATCCAACAGAAACTTTAGTCCTCTCAGAGTCGGTAGTCGCAACTTTAAATATTTTTAACTTTCGGCATATTTTTAAATCCATACAGAAGAGTAGGCGGGCGTGCGCAAACAAAATAAGCTCCGACACAAAGCTCGAGCAAACTATGTACTACCTTGAAATTCCAGCGCGAGCAAACAAAATTTCAATTCACAAACAAACATGGCAAGGATATACTCTGATTCGGAAGTTTTTACTTGTTTACTTTTTTGGAGGAGAATAGTTAAAAACTTTATAGTTTGTCAAAAGATTTCAACAGCAGCACTTGTTTTTTAAAATTACCGCGTGATTTAACAAACAAAATTTTATTTCCGTGTTCTACATTTTGAAGAAACGCACTATTATGTCTGTTATTTAAATTTCAAATAAAATACTAATTCATTTTTTGCACCACGTAATATTTTCTTTGCATTCTTATTTCTGGGAGCATATATTGTAACTCTCATAATGCATACGAGATCGTGAAAAAAATCAGATTTCCGCTTGATTCAACAAAGTTTATTACATAACGCAGTACATAACGGGGCTTATAAGAAAAGTCCTTTCTGATTTTCTTCCTCACTAGAAACACAATTGCACCTTTACGTAACACAGTTTATTGGAATCTTGTTTTATTGCTATCTCGACAAAAGTGTATCTGCACTTCGTGATACATATTATGAAATCATCATTTAAAAAAAGCCACCACTGAAACATGATTTTCCGCCAAGTTGCAACTGTTTATGTGATTGGAGTTGCGTAGAGTATTTAGTTACCAAACATCGCTGATGTTATTGATGCGTGAAAAAATTTAGCATATTAAAAACACATGAAAGCAAAAATGATCAAAAATGAGAATTGTCTCAACCAACAATACTCTGAAAAGTCAAGGAGTGAACAAAGAATTTCGCGAAATCGACTTCCGATAACCATCTTTTTGCCAAACGCCAACCCAGACAAAAGCGTCGGCGAGAAAAAAAAAAAAAAAGAGGAAACCGGATCGCATCCTCGCGAAGATCCTAGACGTTGCAATGGAACAATAGCAAACTCCTAAACAGCGCTTATTATCTTTAGATGAATTACAAAAAAAGACGCCACGACAATGTCTGACGCGCGGGTCGTGGCTATGGATTTCGATCGATATGTTGAAGGTCAGGGTCGCGTCATGTCGGCGGACGTATGTTACGTAACGGGGCTGGCTACGACCACTACGCTGGACCAACGATATACTGTCAAACGCGCATGTGGCGGTCTCTCATCTTTGAGCACTAAATTTTGCGAGGTAAATCTTACAAACGTGGTACAGAGACATTGTGAGTGTGGTATTGTTTCTGGTGCCCGAAAAATTGAGGAGGTGTGGTGAGAGAAAAAAAAGTTTGCCGACCACGAGTTCTGGTCCGTTTCTGGTAGGCAAAAAGGAATAATTGTGACCATTGTTGATTCGTTGGTTTTTCCTCTGTTTTTTGTTTGTTAGAAACTTCGAAATGCATCATTAAAATTGTGCACATTTTTATTTGTCCGAGTATTTGTCGCTCATCTTGAGAGTAATAAGAGCACGTTAAAAGGATAAAAAACAGGATGTAAATAAAATTTACATTTTCAAAGTTAAGAACTTCACACTTAAAGTATTTTTTCAAGTTTTTACTACTCTCCTAGAATTAGAATCGTTCAACATTTGTTTCTTTAATTAAATACTTAAATATCAAACAACATTTTGTGACTCATACATTAATATACTAGCAAATTTTCGTTATTATTAAGTGTTTATTTATTTTTGAAGCCTTCTATTTGAAGAGATTTTTGATTATGAAATAAAAATATTAACTAAATGTTTCCAATTTTTTAACTAAAATAAATAAACTTATGAATTAATATTATTTATACAATTTCCATGTATGATTGTGGGCTTCAAGACACTAAACGAGAAAATCTCTAATAATTATACAGATAAGCAAAGGAACTTACTTCTCGTATCGACTCCGTTTAGCTGAGGACATCTTAACCTACTCATCGTTGATGCTTTTGTTGGAGGCCAACAGAGTATCGAGTCAAATGTCCAATTGCACCAGATTTCTGCAAAAAAAAAAAGTTTTTATGTCACTACTGCAAAATGTGACATTCGCATAGTTTTATTATGTGAAAATTCCAACGTCGTAACGTAAAAAATAATTTTTCGCACCAACATTCTATACAAGTACGTTACAGCCCATTTCGGTATTTCATTGCAAAAATATCCCTCAAGATCTCAGTGACACACGAAAGAAAAAGCTCTGGGTACATGTATTTCTCTAACTTTTTTCGTTACCACCCGCAGCTTTACTGTCGTTTACGTGCATTTTGTTTCCCTCTTTCTCACTCACACTCTCCCTTCCTAAGCTAGCCTTTGCTCGGCAGCTTTAGCTCATGCCCTCTCGTGTGCCACTATGCGTCGTATCACAGGAGACAAGAGCCAAGGCGGCATCTGCCCTTTGATGTAACTTTGTCTTTTTCTCCGGCGCTCTTTGGTAGCCTAGCCTCTTGGCCATTTCTTTTTGCCCCAAAAAAATTATTACACGCTGAAAAAAAAAGTTAGTCTGACGTACGTATCTCACTAAAACAACGAAGCTTTGACACATTAGTATATGACTACACTATATTTTCTCACGAAGGGTATCGCGTAAAAATTTTCAATTTATCAATACTAAGATTTTTGCTATTTTAAGGTTGAAGAATTCTTTAGTAAGTCAAAAAGTTATTGGATAGACGCCTGCTCGTGACCATAATCATTCAGGTTCGAGTTTCCACACGACTCGCGAGAATTTATATTACATATTACCGAGATCCATTAGTTTTAATCAACCCAATTATATTTTGTCCGCTCGTACGTGCGAGTAAGGTGACAATGATTTATGGCCCTTGGTGTATTTTCGATAAAATGCAATTCCCCTCCAACTTTGTACACTCGCAAGCTTATAACTTTTTTTTTTAAAGTCTTTATCAAGATCTTAATTTTTAGAAGAAAAATTTCACACTCGACCACATATTTAGCGATGTGAATATAACGCATGGTGTCCGCAACACACCCTGCAGTCCGAGGAGTCTCAAGCCAGCCACAATTCGTCTGTAGCCTACATCAAAAACTCAGAAACACTTTGCTGTAAGAAAATCTCACGAATGAAAGACACATCCGATACAATAACCAATGAGGCTCACAACGTAACATCACACGTGAAAACATGCTGCAAATTGCGTCAAAAGTATAGGGAACCAGTGCATTTCACACCCGAGGAACGAAAGCGAAAAATGTCATAGACCTCATACGTGCCCTTACGAACATGGGATACGAGACTACTTGACCTGCTGTAAATCTTTACTCCACGTGCGGATGCACTCTCGATCAGACATTCACAAAAAGGACGGCCGACCAAATACACACGTGTCGTCGACACGCGCGTTCGCAAAATCCGGGGTTATAGCGCAACTGCACTAGTCGGTGCTGACCTGAATTCTCACGCGAGCCAACTCCTCGGGGACTAGTTGAGCCAGGGTCCGGGGGTTGGAGGGATGAGGGGTTGCCTGGTCTAGTCGTCGCTCGCTGTTACTGTCTTTCTCTCATTATCCATCTGTCCGTCGGTCTGTACGTCTGCACCGTAAGCTGCTAGAGATACAGGGAGAGGAAGAGCTTTGATGTTGTTGCATGCACGCGGATACGTTTTCCCTCGTGGAATAAGACTCATCCCGTCACGGTCTGATGGATAGGCGCAGATGTAGTGTCGAGAGACGTGTGAAAATGCAAATTTCCGAAAGAGAATTTTAATGTGCAGGAAAGAGGGGCCGAGCGGAGTTTTCGAGGATCGAGGAGGCTTTCGAGATTGAGACGCGCTCGAGAGGCTCTTTTTCCCTGCATGGACGTATCGATTCTTCCTCACTCCCTTTCTCTCTCCCTCCATTTGTTTTTAATGCTCCGTTGAGCAGAAGGCGCGGGCCTGGAAAGTGAGATTTCGAGACGGTTTCATAATTCATGTGCTGAAACTTTGTGCCACTTTGACGTTAGAAAGAGAGTATGTCATAGGGTGGCTTCTTCAGGAGGACGAGATTCTTTTGCCATGGCACGCGTTTTTTTTTCTGTAGCCTTTAAAAGTAGAATTTGTGCGTGCATGTATGCATAATATTTTCTTCAGTGGCATGAGTATCTTGTCTTTACGAGTAAGCGCTGGAGTTTCTATGAACTACAATTAGTGTGTTCTGATGGTTTTGCAACGAGCAGCCATGAATTGAAGTGCTGGCTATATTTGGTGAAAATTTTATTTACGAATCTGCAGAAACTGTCGCTATCAGATAAAAAAGGTAAATTCCAACTAAGTCAAAGGTCGCCAAAAATTTCATTCCCGATGATAAGCGCTAAATACATCCCCAGGGGTATAATTATGCAGTTTAATCGAACTTTTTACGTTGTACAAGCTTGTAATTTCAAAGGACTCCCTCAGTTTTCCACCGACGATTATTCATGCACAAGAAAGGATTGGTTTCCACTAATCTCCAAAGCTTACACTTCCCTTATATTATGTACCCTTATGGTTGAGTCAAATGGTTACTCAGTGAAATAAATTCTTCATGCAAATAGAGGTCGAATAATGGAAAGGATTATAAAAAGTTGAGCAAATGAAAGATCACTGGCATAAAGACAATTGAAGAAAAAAAAGGAAAATCATGCGGGTGTTTGAATTAATGTTTTTTTTTTTTTTTTTTTTTTTTTTTTTTTTTTAAATAGTAAAAAACCAAATCACGCTGTGTCAATGAGAAAGTGATCAAACTATTACATCCCATATTATCACTGGTTTCGCAGTGGGAAAATCATTGTCAACGTCACTTATTGTTTTAGAATAAAGATGAAAAAACTCACCGTCATCGGGTATGACGAAATCCCTGTGCAGAGCCTCGCACTCCATGTTGCTACTGTTGGTGCCCGAGAAGTTAGCACCAATGGCCTTAGCCTTGCCAGTCATGCTCCCAGCAACAGCACAGACGGACCACGACAACAGAGACGAAGACGAGTAGCTAAACCACCGACTCCTTCGTCAACAGCGACGACTGATGCTCGTCTGCATCTCATGTTTGCTACTGCTTTCCATGAATGGTTTCACAACGCGAGACGGAACTTGCCCTATTCGTCGAAGGGTTGAGTGAGACAAGCTCGGAGGTTTCATGCACACAAAGGAAATAAAGTAACAGCAGTTACAAGTGCCACAGGTACTGGCCATAAAAAGGGGGGCTGTATATTTTTGCACGGCTTTACAGCGACCGATGTGTTTTTTCTAACCAAGAACTGCGTCACTGGAGGTAGCTGTAAGTTATTCTTTCTGTGTGGCCGTTTTGCCTATTGTTTTTTTTTTCTTTCAACAGCAGCGAAGAGCTTGCAAGGCATCATTCGTTGAAAAGGTCCCGAGATTTTTATCAATGAGATGGAAAATTGTTTTCGTGCTCGAGGCTTCGTTCGACCAACTGAATTCCGTGGCTGTTACAGTTTTCATGCGTGTGATTCGCCAACCTCGCTACTGTCACTATTCACACTTTTTAACACTTTTTGTGCCTTAAGATTCTTTTAACTTTCTTCATCCAAGATTTTTCAGCTTTAACTCTACGTTTTTCCTGTGACTATAGATTTTTCTTCTGCGATTAGGGAGTTTTTTTTACCCTTGATTGGTCCTGTAGGCAGAAAAGATTTTAAAAATTAGTTTATCTTGTATTGGACAACAATTGTGAGCTATTTAAAAGAGTTTTGGTTGATAATTGAGCTTTTGATGGTTATAGTCGTGGGAAGAAACGTAAAGTGCAGTGATGATAATTTTTTTTTTCATTATCAAAGCAAGTAACTAGTTCATTCTTTTTTGTAAGGATAATTCTGTGAAAAAATTAAGTTCTATAAACTGAAATATTGCACAACAAGAGTCACCAACAGCTGAGGGTTTGCATTTTTTTTCTGCTCCTTTCCATTAATAACTCGTTTCTTCTGCGTTAATTAATTTCGCAATGCTCAAACACGAATATCCAATCTACTTGACTGCTTTAGGTAAATATCTTACTCTTACTGTCCCCCTTAAGCTTTCCTTTCTTTATTCCCGTTAATCGAGTATCTTTATCGAGCCCAAAATATTTTCGAGTTCCTACGCTTCTTTCTTCGAAGTACTATTGTTTTCCATCATCATTCATAGCTTTTCTCATTCAACATTGGGCTAGTGATGATAATTATTCTTAATCAAAACGTATACGTCTTATCAAAGTCTGAAAACCTACCTTCAAGTGAAAGCGTTACGTAAATCCAGCATCCATCCTTGCACTTTTTTGCTGCCGAGTCCACAATAGACCTATCAAATCGTTGGATTGGAAGTAACGAGGCTGTCTTTGTATGGTCTGTTCTCGAAGCTCTTTATTGACGTCCGAAGCCCCTTGTCAATGATATCTGCCGAGCAGGACACGGTAATACCAAATGGTACAACTGTGAAAAAAAATATTCGCAGTTAAGTCATATCAACCTGTCACTTGACAAATGGATAGATTCTGATATATGTTGAGGTTGGTTGGAATGGTTTCATTATGCATCATGTAATTGACGTCCATGGAGTATATTATTACGCTGTCAGTGCTTTTACAACTGATTTCATAAAAACTTCTGTTTGGAGTATAAGTATGGATGAGTTGACTATTTGGACTTTCAAATAATCACAAACACTTCATTTATGTCGAAGTGATTGATACAAGCGTTCAACTTTTTCATTTGAATATTTTACTTATATCAGTTGCATTGTTTTATGCTTTACATGACAGTTTATTTCCAAAAAATAGTACTAATACTAAATCAAGAAATGAATGACCTGATTAAAAAAATTTAATGATATGTCAAATCAAATACAATATCTTAAATCTTCTATTTTTCGTGCAATACAATTTAAGTAAGAACTTTTGGCAGATTCAGGACTTTAATGAAATTCACACTGTTGTTAAAATAATTTTTGATATTTAAACACAAATAACTTTAAATAAAACCGATAGTCACATTAAAACGTTCATACTTAACATTTTATCAAAAATTAATTCATTTCTTCTTAAAAAATTAGTGTCTTACCCTTTCCGTATATGAATTGCGAGATTACCTAACACTGCTTCAATTGACATAACCTACGATATATATTCATCCCTTTATCTTTTTATTTCTCTCTTTAGTATACATCTGAGAATCTAGCTAGCCATGACCGCATCATTCCGTGCACGTCACATCGATTTCAAGAGCAAGAGTCTTCTTTACGGTCAACCGAAAAAAAATATATATCTGTGTACGTGGTGCACTCATATATCTATACACGATCGCTGGCGTGAATTTTTGACCTACGGCTTGCTTCCTCTCACACTATACAGACCCAGCTCTTTCATTCCCGGTTAAAGCTACGATTTCCTGGCAATGCTTGGCTGGTTCGAGTAGATTCGCTTGCGGTTGAAAGGTTACAGCGAGATTGATAGTCAGGATATTAAAGTGCTCCCAGGTGACGTCCCTTCATCCCATAAAAGAACAAAAAGTATTGTTCCACCGGAGTACCAGCAATTTTGGTGAGTGACAAAATCGGAAAATATCGATTAAGCGATTTACTTTGAGCTTTTAGTGCATTGAATCAAATCAATTGGGTCAAACAAAGCTTTACGAGTGATTAACGATTCCACAGCAAAATTTTATTATTTATGGTAGCGGTTATTTTCTCTTACATCCAAATATGTAAACGTAAAGCCATCGATAACTTTCAAGTAAGCTCTTAAGAGTTTCCAAGTCCCTGTTTTGGGAATATTAGTTTGCTCCACTTCGGTTCCGCGTAAACCAGCGTATAAGCCTGTGCGAATTTACAAAGTATATCGAAGTGACAACAATAAGCGTGTGATATTGGTGTTTCCAAGTGCTCAAGGCCCTTGCTACACTTTGTTTTAATTGTAAAATTGCAATGAAACACAAGTATACCAAGAATTTTCAGAGAAGAAAAAACGTTTTACTAGCCCACGTCGGCACCCAGCGTTTCATCTACATCAAATAAAAAGAGCACTGCATACCTAGTGGTGTCTTCTCAACGAGAAAATTACATTTTCCCCGCGTGCAAGTGGTTTCGTCACTCTGGCCATGGCTTTACGCATGGTCCACAAGGGTGGTAGAATTAATGCGTCCCTCTTTGGCACTTGCTTTGTGTGCAGTGAACACGAGTGTGGGTAACGGCGACAGTAGCTCGCGAAAACTGCTATGCAGGCAAGCATTAAATCACGCGACATTTAATCTTTTTTTTCTTCCGTTATACTCGTATACCTCAACTGCTACTGTTTGAGTCAACTTTTAATTACTATTGTAATGTGAATTCTGATGCTCGTAGCCCTAATGGTTCAAGTTTCGTCAAAAGCATTGCACAGCAAGGAGTGAGAGGCATTGCTATCTTATTTTTAATTACAGATAGTGTAACTTAAATGTCGTTTATTAAAGTATTGAACTTTGGTTGGTTACTGTGGCATTACGTCTACAATTATAATAGTATTTGTTTATTTGACGCAGCAAGTGTTACCCAATGACAATAAAATGATCAATGTGATCAATAACAATAATATTTAAACAAAGTATCTTATTACATGTTAGAATGTTATATTAATTTAATATAAAAATGTATCTTTTTTTTCAGAAACCACTCACAATGCAAGTATTTATAGATATTTATGCAATTCCAGTAGTAATGGACAGTATATGGTCAGCCACATCATTTTAAAAGTAGCTAGTAGACCGATAGTAACCATTTTCGGATTTTCAGTAGGACATGCTGTAATAGAGTAGTTAAGGATAGTATATAGTCAGACATATGGTTTTCAGCAGACAGAAATTTTTAAATCATCTACCTTCAAAGTTATTTATAAGTTATCATAAAATTTAGTAGTAACAGTGAGTACATAGTCAGCCATTGTGTTTACAGGAGAATTTAAATTTTTTATAAATTAGTATGTCACTTAAGTAGTAAAAGACAGAACGTAATCAGACACTTTATTCAAACTATCTACGAAGGGCCTATTTTTATAGTGGTAGTCTAACTTTACATGGCTGCCTATTTTTCTAATGCTTTGAGATAAGATGAGAGACAGCAGAAAGATGCAAAATATGCCACCGCATATTGGCCTTCAAAGCAAAGTCCTCCTTCCAAATTATACATAAGGCATCATGAAATTCGAGTAGCTTAAGACAATACATGGTCAGCCATCTTAACCGTAAAACTTAAATTATTTACCTTCTACGTCTTTATTAGACCATTATTTTTAAACTGTAACGGTAAATTGTAAGACATTTCGTCTAAAACAGCTAATACCGTTAAGTTTTTATCTTTCCTTGGTTTCCATGAATCACTCTACAATTGAAAAAATAATGGGAGACAGTATGTGATCAGACAAATTATTTGATTCATCTTCTATGATGGGGGTACAGTTCTCTCTTCCAAATTTTCTGTAAGACATCATGTAATTCTGCGATTCAAGTAATAAAAGATAGTTTATGGTCCGATATTTTATTTGAAACAGTTCTTAAAGTTTAAGTTGTTCACTTTTCTCCACATTAATAGCATTGCCAACTTTTCAGTAGAAACAGTCATGATATAGTCAGCCATTTTATTAAAATGACGCTAGTAAACGAGAAGTTTTCCTTCATTTGAATTTTTTATAAGTCACTGAAATATTTTAGTCGTAAATTACAGTATGCAATGAGACATATTATTTTAACCAGCTAGTTACATTGAAGACATCCCTTTTAGATTTTTAATAAGACATCATGCAATTCAAATAGTAAATGGCAGTGTATACGCAGAAATATTATTTAAAGTAAAGTCGCTTCAAAATTATTAATTGTCTCAGCTTTTAAAAAACATGGCCATGTTTAAGTAGTAATAGCCAGTGTATAATCAGACATTTCATTTTTAGAGTATAGTAAAATTAAAGTTGCGTGCCATCTGAGTTCGTACTACCATGAAATTTATTTTGTTAAAGGTAGTATGTAATCAGGCACCTTATTTGAAAGAGCTGGTCATGCCAGAGTAATTGATTTTTG